AATCTAAAGTGCCGGCTGGTTATGAACGTCAGAGCTGGTGATGTGCAGATGTTTTAAGCAAATGGCTTTAAACACCATAATTAGCCCTCCACAAGCCATAATTCCCCGCCGAATGAAGCACAACATGGAAAACGTCACCGGCCCTGCGTAGCCCCGCACACAGCAAAGCTGTCCATGTCCAGATGTCCTGGGGAGGCTAATGGTGGGCGCTAACGGCTAAGCTAACAGGCTCCCATTGAAGTAAACCAAGCCGCTGTAAACTTCCTGACCCACGGAAAAGAGAAAGAAGACAGACCACGAGAAGAGGAGCTGTAAAATAGAGCCACAATAGCACGTATAAATACATTTCTCAGAGGAATAACAAGCAACTCGGCCTTAAAGCTTTGGAGCCTGTTCCACAGAACGATGAGCAGCAGCAGAAAAAAGGTGGAGTACATTGTCCAGGAGAGGAAATGAGGTGCTGCCACAGCTGCTCTACCACATCACTTCCATTGAAAAGTGAAGGAATTTCAAGGCTTGCTGCCACTGAAGTTCATTCAGTGTCTTCTGAAGACGCACAAAAGCGTTCGGCCCCGACTGGAGCCCTGAGAAAAAGGAAAAAGTTTACTTTGGATGTGTTAGTCACAGCTTCAGGTGGAAAAGAGCAAGAAGGGGGCAGGGAGAGCTATAACGGGGTCAAGGAGTAAGACTTCGAAAAGCACGAGCTCCACAGGGGTTTTACTGAGGAGGATCTAAAAGACGAAGAGGCTGTGGATCCTATGCACCACGATCAGAACAGTTTGTCTTTCTTTAAGTTCCATCGAATTTTACTCGAATCGTCAAGGACACGAGTAACCTGAATCCATCATCATTCCATCATTTTCGTGCTTTGAATACCGAAGCAGAGAGAGTGAGAAGGAGCCATTGAACTCTTGTTTGTTTGTGTACACAGATATAAATATGCCTATGTGCAGTGTTGGGGAGTAACGGATTACATGTAACGACGTTACGTAATTTAATTACAAAAAAAGAGTAACTGTAATTCGTTACAGTTACAATGAGAAAAAATATGTAATTCAGTTACAGTTACTTCCGAAAATATTAAGAATTACAAATTTAGTTACATTTTTTAAAAAAATATAAAGAAAAACCTTTGCAAAATATGCAACTCACTGATAGACGAAGCGTATTGATTTACTAATATTTGACTGTTTGGTGTTGATGCATGACAAACGTTTATCGATGTCTATGACCTAGCCTAGCCTAGCTTAGCCTAGCCTTCCCAACTGTAGGGTGACCAGATGTCTTCTTTTTCCCGGACATGTCCTACATTTCAGACTAGGGTTGTCAAAAG